TTATTTTTAATTTAAAATTATTACTCCGTATATTTCTCATTGGAAGTTTAATTATTATATTCCAATGCTCAATTTGTAAGTTAAATATGTTTATTTGGTGCATGTTTTATGCTCATTTTAAGATGTCATATTAATGCATATTTCTAAAGTATCATATTAGATTCGCATAAGAGTTAGATTATATACTCCGTACATGGAAGCAGAAACTATGATACCCAATTGCATGTTTCAGATACTCGATGAAAATGTCTTAATGCTCAACTAACAAAGCTTATTATTTTCATATCATTGCTCATTTGGTAAGTTATGTATGTTCATTTGGTACTGATTTCATGCTCATAATAAAATGTTATATCAATGCATATTTCAAAAGTAACATATTACATTAGATTCAATCATTCAAGTAGGAGTTATTTACTGATGCGAGAGCACAAACCATGATATTCAATTGCATGTTTTTAATACTAATAGAGGAAATTTGATGCTCAATGAAAACGTCTTGATGCTCGCTCAACTAAAAAAAACTTATGATTCTCATACTAATGCTCGTTTTATAATTTACGAATGATCAACCGACACTCAATTGTACGCATCTAATACTCAATAGAGGAGGTTTAATGCACAATGAAAAATGTCTTGATGCTCAACTAACAAAGCTTATTATTTTTATATTAATGTTCATTTTATAAGCTACATATACTCAATCGATATTGATGTTATGCTCATTTTTAAAATGTCATATCAATGTATATTTCAAAAGTATCATATTATATTAGATTCACATATTGAACTTCATAGGGATTGGTTGTAGATATAATTTAATACTCCCTCCGTCCCATTTATTTTGTCTCGTTTTACCTTTTCGGGAAGTCCCACTTATATTGTCTCATACCATATTTGGCAAAGTTTGTGTGACTCTAAATCATTCTTACTTTATTCTAACTTTATCAATTAATATCAACCACACAAACCCACTTTTCTTAATAACCGTGTCACCCTCTTCCGGGACAATATAAATGGGACGGAGGGAGTAAGTTTCTATAAAAGAAAAAATATAAAAAGAAAATGAATTAAAAGATATGAAGCAGAGATTATGATGCTCAATATTAGACTTCTAATACTCAATATAATAGGTCTAGTGCTAATTAAAAGTTTATTAATGCTCATTTAACAGAAAGCATTGTTTTTATCTCAATAAAAGAGGTTTGATACTCAATGAAAATGTTGTGACGTCCAACTAACAAACCTTATGATTTTCATATTTATGCTCCTTTTGTAAGTTGCATATGCTCAATTGGTACTCATGTTATGCTCATTTTTAAAAGAAATGTCATAACAATACATATTTCAAAAGGACCATATTACATTAGATTCACATATTGAAATTCATATATAGGAATTGATTATAGATATAGTTTAATGAGTTTTTATAATAGAAGAAACAAGAAAAAGAAAGTGAATTACAATATATGAAATTGATATCACAATACTCATTATTCGAATCTTAATGCTCAATAGAATACGTCTGATGCTCATTAAAAGTGTATTAATGCTCATTTAACGAAAACCTCGATATTCACTAATATTATGAAAATGCCACCGTTTTTCAGCTATGATGTCAGCTTTTTTGTAATAACACAGTGCTCATTATTAGACGCTTAATACTCATTAAAATTAGACAATTGCTCATTAACAGTACACTAATGCTCATTTAGCAGAAACCGTGATTTTCACATTAATTACAAAAATGCCACTGAATTATTTTGATGTTTTCCCCTTGAGCCTGTTACTGGGCCGGCTGTACAGTCCTCATCGTACAGCCGGACACCGTACAGCTGGCTATACCATAAACGTACTCATGGACATAGGGTTAGGCCCATTTTTGCGGGCCGGGCCCGCCCACACATGATGGGCAGAAAACTTATGAAAAGCCCGGCCCGATCCCGGCCCGAGCCCGGCCCGAGCCCGGCCCGAAACCGCTTTTGTGCAGGTGTACTTTAACACCACTATAACCTAATCGAGCCGAACTCAAGCTTTGGGTCTTCGGACTCGCCTTATTAACAACCTTAGACTGAACTAATTCAGCAAGGCCAAGCCCGACGATTGTCACTATAGATCTTGCACTGATGCTATTGAATGAGGCCGATTGGACCTAATTCGTCTCGGCTCGGTTACAATTTAATACTGAGTCATTTCATGGGCATTCGAGACATAGGCACATAGTATCTAGGAATTACATCACAGCCCTTGTTGTGAGGACTGATATCACCAGTTCTATTTTTAATCACTTTTACCTGAGTTAAAAGACTGAACAAATTTGGGAGTATCAATTTATGGGCTCATTTTTAGATTAAAAGGCTGATTTTGTGAGCACTTGTGCCACAAAATGGAGTTGATGCTTAATCTTATCTAGCGAAAGCTATCCAATAAGCTCTTGTATTATATCAAAAAAGTCAATTAAATCCTCCTACTTTGAAAACACTCAATTAAATCCCCAAACTAGTAAAAAACAATTAATTGAGTTTTTTAGCGGATATACAACCTGTTTCCAGTTAACTGCCACACGGCTGCACACATGGCTACACACGTGGCAAAAAAGATGCAGTAATTTTATCTTTGCTTTATTTTTTGCTTTCTCTTTGTGTTTTCATTTTGACATTCCACAGCTTCGCATGGGCAGACTTGATGACCTTCCCCGCCACCAAGGACGAAGCTATGCCTTGAGTTAGGGGGCCATGGCCCCTCCCAACATTTTTTTATAGTAGTATTATTACTAAGACTTTTACACAAAAGCTTTCATCCAATGTATAGGCGTATACCAGCAAGCACGTTGATGGCTAAATAAAATCCTCCATTTACACTGAAACTAAAATTCATAACAACACCTAAATTGAATTAGAGAGTAATGATAAATACATTAACTTTAAAGAGTTTAATAAGTACGTATGTAATATGTTGAATTATCAGTCCAACAGGGTTCAAGAGGCTCTGGTCCCTCGACAATTTCTTTTTATTCTATTAAGATTAATCTTGTAAAATATTTTGATCCCCTCAATTAAATTTTGTTAATTTTGATATGGTAGCAAAAAATAATATTATTATCTCCCAATTCCTTATAGCTACTAAGAAAATCTCCACTATCATGTGGTGTCCGACTTATTTTGGAGACGTAAATGCTTAACTGTTTTATCACATAAATACACAGAGTATTACTCCCGTTTGGTTTTTCACACAGATTAAGAAATGGCACTGCAGCGACACTGTTTGGCACTGTAACAACACTGTTTTGCACTGTTTTGCATTGTTTGACACTGTTTTGTATAGATTGTTTACCAAATAACGAAGTTAAAGAAACGGGACAATTATTTCGGGATGGACCGAAAAGGAAAGCGGGACAATAATTTTGGTACGGAGTGAGTACATAGTATGGACTACGGAGTATTAGATTTGACTGTATCAACAAATTGTAAACCTAAAATAAATTCAAGTTGGACATTATTAAAACTTTAGGTACGCCACAACAACACTTTGCCCCCCCCCCCCATCGCATCCTAGGGCCGCCACACAAGACCAATCCCTCCCTAACGGCTCCGCCCCTGCCCGCCACACAAGACCAATCCCTCGCTAACGGCTTCCTCTGCCATATACAAGGTCATGTGGTTTCCTCTTCCATATCCAAGATCCCAATACAAACACGTCTCTTCTTGCCGAGATCTCTGGCAAACTCTGGCAAGGGCGGCAATTCTGGCGACGACGGCTCATCTCTATGCAATCAGAAAGAGAGTCAAATCTATCGCTTTGTCTTGGACTTCGGCAATTAGTTCCTGTTGTTTTAGACTCAAATCGAGAAGCAAATATGAGATCTTTCAGCCCTAGAAAATTTGGGTTGGTCTTTGTTGCTCGGAACTCCTTGGAAACTTTTTCTTAAGCCCCCGAGGGTCCAAACCAATCGCGGCTGTTCTTGTTGGGATTTTCGGTGAACTGCGGTAGTAACTCTTGTGACGACGACCTCTCTCCTCACACCAATGAAAGAAAGAAAGAACAGAAGAAAAAGAAAAACAAAGACAGAGAGAAACAGGAATGATGATCGAGCATTCCTGGGAATTATGGGGAAGGATGAGGAACCATAAAAATAAAGAGAACAGGAAAAAAAGGAAAGGAAAGAAAAAAGAAAAAGAAATAGAAAAATAAAGGAAAAAGAAACAAAAATGTCATGTTGCTTGCCACATGTGTAGTTAACCGGGTAACCGGTTCTATACCTGCTCAAAAAAATTTAATAGTTTGATGATTTAATTGGATGCTTTCAAAGTACACGAGTTTAATTGACTATGTTGATATAATCAAGCATTTCAGCCCAGCTAGTTTTGAGGTTATTGTGCCTAGTGGGAGGTCTCAAGTTCAAAATCCGCTAGGCATATAAGGATTCAAAACTCAATGGAGTGAGTTTCAGCCTTGATTACTCCTGGCTCTCTCAGAAAATGCAGCTACTTCAGGTCGCGAAAGTACTGAAAAATTCTCCAGTGAAAAAGAGAAAGATGAAGAATGCATCTTAAATTGTCTCAATGCACTTAATTCACTAAATGGTATTGATGGAGCATCTTATGCAAAATCAACTCAACTTCTTCATGATGATGCAAGGTGGAGAACAATGTTTCTAGCCATGCCAGATGAGAGGAAAAAAGATTGGGTGCTTAATATTTGAATGTCTGGGTTACTGATTGTTTTTTTTGGATGCTTGATATTTGATGCTATGACATCTTTAAGCTGTTGGTGTAGTGTTTGTTTGAAATTATGTTTAGCCTTTTTTATATAACTCCTGAGCTACTGGTGTCTTTTAGATGTTTAATATTTGATGATGTGACATCTTTAAGTTGTTGGTGTAGTTTTTGTTTGAAATTATGTTTAGCTTTTTTTATATAACTCCTGAACTACTGGTTATTTGAAATTGTATTTTGTGGACGTGATGTTATTTTGTATTCAATGTTGAACTGCTCGTAACTTAGCTTTGCTTCAGACAAATGGACACAAATTTGGAGTCTCTCATAGATTCAAAATCTGATGAAGAGATTGAGACTTTGCTCACAATTAGGTTAAACAGTGAGTATAATCCCCTTCGCAAAGTTAAACCTCGACCCCAAAGGGTATCTAAATTAAAAGGTCATGAGTGGGTGGTTGAAGTGTTAAATGGTCATCCAAACACATGTTACGATTTATTTCGTATGGATAAGCATGTTTTCAGGAGTTTGTGTGAGGAGCTTAAAAGAACAGCAACAAAAGACTCAAAATATTTATCTGTACAAGAGCAACTAGCCATATTTTTATTAATTATTAGTCACAATGGGCGACAAAGATATGCTGCAGATCGATTTCAACATTCCACGGACACGATTTCTAAGTACTTTAGAAAGATTCTATTCGTTATTTGTTCTATTTCTAAGCACATAATCACCCCTCCTTCATTTGATGACACGCCTCCGGAGATAAAGAACAACCCTAAGTATTATCCATTCTTCAAGGTAATATTTATTGCATGATTTTATTTTAAAATTTTAGTATGGATATAGTTTGTAATATTATTTTTTGTTGTTTATAGAAGTGTGTAGGGGCTATTGATGGCACTCATATTTCTGCGCGCATTCCAGTTCGTGAACAAATTCCTTATCGTGGAAGAAAGTTTGATACTACTCAAAACATAATGTCTGTTTGTTCATTTGATATGAGATTTACATTCATAATGACTGGTTGGGAAGGTACAACAAATGACTCTAGAATTTTTTTGGAGACTGTTAGTAATCCAGCAAATCATTTTCCTATGCCTCCACTAGGGAAATATTAAGTTGTTGATTCTGGCTATACTAACATGCCTGATTTCCTTAGTTCATACCGTGGAGAACGGTATCATTTGCGTGATTATAGAGAAGGTCCAAATCCACGAGGCCCTGAAGAGATGTTTAATTATATGCATTCCTCATTACGTAATGTCATTGAACATTGCTTTGGAGTTCTGAAAGCTAGATTTCCTATCCTCAGAGATATGCCTGCTTATTCAATTAAGCGTCAAAAATATATATGTCTTGCTTGCTATGTGATTCATAATTTTATAAGAATGCAGGGATGTATGGATGAATTATTTGTTGAATATGCAAATGAAATAGTAGAACTTGAAGATGAGGAGACAAACAATGGAGTTGAATCTAGCGGTTCGCATGAAGCTATTAATATTGCTCCAAGTCAACTTCAACGAATGAACAATCTTAGAGATAGAATAGCAAAATCTCTTTGGGAAAATTATAATGCATAGTTTCTATGTAAGATTAGTTCATTTTGATGCAATATGATTAGATGCTTTAAAAGAGATTATCTTTTGTATTGTGATTGTTTTCTAATTTTATTGAATTGTGGTATGAATTGTGAGAATCAATACAGTGCTATTTATATGTATGTGTTTGTTTAAGAAAGAAAGGAATTTCAATTTTTGAAATAATTTTGAATCAACACTAAAATCAAAATTGTTTTCAGAAAAGTGAAAATGAAAAACAGAAAACAGTTTTTTGATTTCTAAAAACAAAAAAAAACAAAAAAAGACACAACCATATCGAACGATGCCTTATTTGTCGGTTTTTTCTTTTATTTAAGAGAAAAGGTGAATTACGTACTCCTCATGTTGGGCCATTGGGCTTGGGCGGTAGTGCGGTACCAACAAACCAAAAGAAACGAAACCAGAAGTGCGACGAATCAGGCAGGAAGTTAACTAGTCTTGAGGCAAAATAATTGAAACGGATCCATTTATCCTTTAATATAAAAAAATGCATATTGGGGGAAAAAGTAACGCAGCCGAAAGTATTGCAGAGTCCACAAGCCGGACACAAGGGTTCAGAGACCTTTCTGAGTTTCTGATATAGAGAGGAGCAGCAATTTCTTGAGAGCTTTGACTTGCTGGGATTGGGTGAAGACTACGCCGGAAGATTCTTCAGCTATCGAAGAGTTTGTTTCACCTCAACTTGTTTTATTTATTGTTAACAAACTCAAGTTAATAAGTTTTTTATTGAGAATCTAGCTTTGCATCTAAGAATTTTATTGTCACTGTGTTCACTTTTTTGTCGATTAGTATGGTGAAGATGAATTTCATGCTGCTCCATGTTTTATCTCAAATTGCATTAATGTGTAGTTAAATTTTTTAAGTGCAAGAGTATGACGATGTCGCTATGATTTAGTATGAATCTTAGTTCTATCAATTTATTGATTTTATCCATTGTTATTATTCCCTTAAATGGCCTGGTCTGGTCTAATATGGTAAATGTATGGTCTCTGTGTGTTTTATCACGGTCAAAATTTAGTCTAATATGTTTAAGTTTGGTTTGGTCTAGTATAAGATTGAAATAACTCCAAGTAAAAACATCTTAAGCTGCTGGGACTAATAGCATATACGCCAATATATGTTATGCCTATTAGTTTGAGTTCTTGGGGACAAGAATCGGTTATTCAACTGTCTTGTTAGGTTATCGATTTGATTCTTAAATCGAATTTCCATAATTCTTCCGTGATTAATGGATTTTAATTATTTAATTAATAATTCAGTATTGATTAATAATTAAAGTGTGTGACTTATTCTAACACACAACAACTCAAACCCACAGGCGCGGTAGATTCCAAGAGGCGCGCATCAGACAGTGCCTTTTGCCGCCTTGTGCGCTTCTGCGGTGTGGCCGCTTCTCACGCCTCAGGGACGTTTGGCGATTCAAGTTCCCAGACTGTTTGCTTCCCACAGTTTTGCGATTCAACCTTCCAGAATTTTTGTAGATTTCCCTAGCGTTCTTCTCCCTTCTGCCTTCTTAGTTGCTTTGCTGTGTGAGTTCGACATCTTCTTATTCTTCCGCTCTGTATGTTTTGCAGCCTCTTAGGTGTTTTCTTTCCGCTGTTCCGCTCTTTAACTCTTTAGCTCTTCTTTTTTATCTTATTCTGTTAAATTTATTTATAAATGATCTAAACTAAACTGTTTTATAGTTTATACCCAAGTGTAATATGGCAATAGCCTTCCAATTGTCCAATAGTAGCAGATTTTTTTATTTAATAAATATATAAGAGTTCTTTATTTTTAACATTTTTTATATAATAATCTATTACAAAAGTTACTCATTTTCATTTTCATTTACCTCAGTGTCGCAAAGGCTCCCACCTATGGTTGGGTAAGGGGGGTCGGATGTACGCAATCTTACCCATGTACTAAAGTACAAAGAGACTGTTTCCGGATGACCCATAGTGAAAATCGCGTCCAAAATTGCATGGACTGACTACTGCTTCATAACAAAGAAGAGCAGACAGTTTAATGAGCCATTTTGCTTTATTCGGTCATATTATCAAGCCAAAAAATAATGAATCTTTGGCTCCATTGCAAATGATGAAAATTACTACGGAGTATTAATTACTACGGAGTATTAATTATTACAATAACTTAGAATTGTTGAATGTGTGTTTCTGTAATAGTGTAATGCCTAGAGTTCACTACTATGGCAGTAGCCCTCGGCTGCCCTCCAATCAATGTTTTTTTATTTAAAAGTTACGTAGTCCGTATATAAGACAATTTTTTATTATTGACGTTTTTGATATAATAGTTTATTACAAAAATTACTATTAATTATTTAAATTACTATTACTAGTTATAAAAAATATAAGCAGGCAGATTGTTTATTTGTAAGTTTTAGGATTGTTTATTATGATGTTTATTTGTTGCTATTTTATTGCTATTATATTTCTCTTATGATGTTTATTAGGTTTGTTAATATCTTGAAGTATTTTTTCGAAGAGTACTTCGTGTAGAAGTAATATAAATATAGTTTTACCATAGATATGTGGTTTAGATCAGTGAGGCACACCTCATAATCTTGGACAATATTGTATCTTGCTTAATTGCTAGTTGTTTAATTACTTTATTTTTATTCCGTTAAATTCTTGCATCAAATTTTACTTTTTCAATTTCAAATCAAAACATTCTCAAAACTCTCCTTGATTAAATTAATTTGGTTTATATTTAACTATTTTCTATTACTTGCTAACATTATTTCCATAGATTCGATCCTTACTTGAACACTATACTATCGTATGACTCATGCACTTTTGAGGATTTATAAATTGTCTCTACTAGGAAATTTGTGTAACTAGATTTTGGAAAATTTGTTAATTTATTTTTTAGTTTTTTTCCCTTCTTTTTTCGGTAAGAGGGTAAAAAGGAGGCTCGAATTGGTTCCCGGTCCAACAATTTCATTGGCAAATATTATTCAGTCCAAAAACTTCAGAATTGAGGAGAAAAATTGCTACCTTCACTCAAACTGAAGATGAACCATACTACGAAGCATGACAAAGATTCAAGATATTGCTCACTCAATTTTGTCCCACACAAAACTATTCATTGACGCTCCAAAATCAAACATTCTATGATGGTTTGATACAAGGGAGCCAAACTATCGTTGATAACACAGTCAGAGGGGCAATGAGAGGGAGGGAGGAGGGCTGAATAGACATTAGAACTTTATGATATGTTTGGAACCAAATCACAACAAAAGAGTGTGCAAGAGAAGACTCCTAAAATTTATGAAGCGGGAGTTGATACAGAATTAAACATTCAAATCTTTGAGGTATCCAAACAAATGAAGAATATGTGCTCTGTGATGACAATGACTCAATCTACCTCTGTTGTGAATGTTGCACATGATGACGGTTTTGAGCAAGCCCACATGATGAACTTCTACAACCAAGGGTCGGGGAACTATCCATTCTCCAACTCTAACACACATCCAAGCACCACTTCAAGAACAAAAGAAGCCTTCTTTAGAGAAAATTTTATGCAAATCTGCCCCAAATATCAGTAAGTCAATGAGCAGTGTTTCCAGCAAAATGAAGCCTCTTTGAGGAAGCTAGAGGTATTAGTGGGACATATTGTTGAGTGTTTGCAAGGCCATGCATAAGGGAAGTTACCTAGCCAGACTGAAGTTGAAGCGGAAAAAGAAAGAAGAAGTTGAAGCTCATTCGGCGCATGAGGAGACCGGGCTGCATGAAGCGTAGGATCCATATCTGCCACTTAAACCATATGCTCAACCCGCTCCTTTTCCAAACAGGTCAAATGTTCTAAATTTAATAAATCTTTTGATGAAATTTATAAGTTGTTGTCCAAAGTTAATGTAAATTTGCCTCTTCTTGAAATAATCACTAACATGTCTGTATATCATAAAATTTTGAAATAATTGAACCCTAGTAGCCGTAGGTATGAACAGAATGCAAAAAAAAAATTGTTCGTGAGCCTATTAGTGTTATTTGGAGAAAGACATGCCCTTGAAACTAAAAAACTCTGACAGTTTTATTGTCACCATCAATTTAGAAAATTTTAAGTCTTAGAAAGCTATGTTTAATTTGGGCAAAAGTATTAGTTTGATGCCTTATTTTGTTTACTTGAAATTGGGATTGAATGAACTGAACATCCTACAACTTGTTGACCCCTCTATTAGATATTCTAAGGCGATTGTTGAGGATGTTTTAATTCAAGTAGATAAGTTGATCATTCATGCTGGTATTGTAGTAAAAGATATGGATGATTAGTGTAAATGTGTGAAAGACATGCCAATTTGTCTTGGTAGACCTTTTATGGCTACGAAAAAATTATGATTGATATTCAAAATTTAAAATTGACCATGAGTGTGCTTGATGAAACAATTAAGTTTTCTAATTTGAAATCCACGAGCTTGTCTGCTAATTTCAATCTGTCAATCTGACAATGAAATCATTTCAATGCTAACAATTCATTGCAATGCTAACAATTCAAATGAAACTATTCCTTCAAGCTAACAATTCAATCGGTAAGGCATTCAAATGAATTTTTGAAGATAACTTCGCAGTTATCTTCGTTATCTTCAAGATTTCATTTGAATGCCTTCCCGATTGACGTTTTAGCTGCAATTTGATATGAGTAACTAGACTTAATGAATAAGACGCTCAAAAAATTTCATCATAAAATTCCACCGGGAACCGCCCCAATTGGCGATGGCCGGACATAACCTCCTATTTATGGCTTACTTGACATTTTTATGTAAGTTCGAGGACCTATCTGACCCTTTTCCCTTTTATTTATTCCAATACTAATATAGTAGGAGTTAATATTATCATGTCATCTTGAGATTTTTATCTGAAATTAAAATTTATTATTAATATGCATACTTTAATGACCAATTAGTAGTTAAGCAACTA